CCACATGCACACCCACTGCACACCTACATACGCACTGCCCACCCACACATGTACACCCACTGCACACCCGCATGCACATTCACTGTAGACCCACTGCACACCCATGTAGCACAAATTCTAATTGGTCTTAATAATAAAAACCCGGAGTCAGATACAGGGGTTAATGCTGAAAGATCAGAGAATCAGAGCAACCAGCCACTAGAGAGTTCTTACCTCAGACCAAAGGGGTGACCCTGTCTCTACGCTGCCTCAGGCTGCTGCTATCTCTTCAAGACCTCAGACTGAATCCTCAGGCTGCATCTGAGTTACTGTCTCTTCCCGCCTTATATTCCTCTCTCTACCCAGTCATATCACTCCTGTCTCCACCTCCCTAGTGCTGGGATCACCTTTGTGTGAGCTCTGTTTCTCTTTTAGACAGATCTTCAATCTCATCGTAGCCCAGGGTGGCCTTGAGCTTACAGAGATCCTCTGCCTCTGCCTCTGTCTCCCAAGTGCTGGGATTAAAGGTGTGTGCCAGCAATGCCTGGCTTGTATGGCTAGCTAGTGGCTAGCTCTGCACTCTGATCTTCAGGTAACTTTTATTTGTTAGATCACAGACAGAATATCACTACAGGTGCACATGCACACCCACTGCACACCCAGACCCTTGCTTATCCCTAGTGGTTTTAGGTGTCCCAGTAGTTCATCTCCACTGCTCTCCTCACATCTCTCTGATGGCTGCACAGGAGGAGCGCATGGCAATCACATGACTGTGTTCCCCACAGTTTTAGCTCTTTAGGTCTGGGACCTTTGGATTTTTTGTAACACAGGATGTTTCATAGACACTGACCACCTATGCCTTCCAGTGTAGTTTCCTGGGAAGGCCCAGGGAAATGGGTAAAATTTTAAAAAAGTAGAGGAACACTTATGTACATCTATGAACTGTAATGTAAAATCTCCACCAAAATTTATAGAAATGCAGACTTCAGAAACAGCATTTAAAATGTAGAAAGTGATTTCTCTTTTATATCTACTAGCAAGATATTAATGATGAAAAGTGTCTAAGTCACCTCAAGGCTGAGGACTCTAAACTCAGTTCATTGAAAACATGTAAGAGCTATGAAGAAGATCCACAGTGGTCCATCCTGCAGCCCAAGGATGCAAAGGAAGAAAATGAGGTAAGACGAGAGATGGCTTCTAAATTCACTAATTAATTCGTAAGTGATGACAACTGGAAATCAGTCAGCCTGTGAGGACCACTCCATGACACTGAATTACATGTGGTCTCCTTAGTCACCAAGACCATAGTATGGGACATAACCCAGTGACAGCAGAGGAAACCTCTCGCTGGGCTGGATGGTAGTGACCACGATCTAGTCAAGCATGGCAGTGTTTGAAACCTTGAGAAGTAATATTAGGAAAGGTCGTCATGGAATATGATTTCATTTTTGGGAGAACACATTTTTTAACCAAGTGTTTATATGCACATAGCCTGGAGTCCTTCATGACACCTACATTTTTCTATTTTTAAAGTATTAATTTTCATCTCTTTGAGCTGTTTTGAGATTTACCTCTAATTTTATTAAATAGTCTTATTTACTTCCTGATTTTCCAGCTCTAAGTGTCTTTAGATTTCTTGGCATGAAAGATGGAGGTTGAATCCTTTTTCGACCCCCACATAGTCTTCATTCCCTGCCCCACCATCTGTCTTAGTCCAGTATATCAAACTGGTGTTGACCTCCCAGTGCTTATGAATGGAAACGCCATTTCTGCTGAGCCAAAGAGTATGCTAGGACACTTTGCCTATGTACTTTTAAATAATATTTTTGTATATTCTTTCTTCTCCCCTAACTCCTCCCAGATCTTCCCCCACCTCCCCACCTAGGTAACTTCATGCTCTTTTTTGCTCTTAAAAGAAAGTGGAGTTCAGTTTGTGTTTGCCAGCTACTCCTGAGCATGGGGCCTTACCTCGAATGTGCTGCTGCTTCAGTGAAGAAAGCTGACTTCCCCGCCCTCAGCTGTCACTTGAGGCTAGCTTCTTGGGTACGGGTGGGACGTGGTGCCCACTTTTCCTCCCTCGTGATGGGTTTTTGTCTGGTTTGAATGTGTGCGGGTTTTATGCATGCTATTTTGTATTTTGTGTTGATATTTCATTCTTTTCAAATTACCTGCAGTAACACAGACTTTATTCCGGTGTACTTTCCTGTCCGTTTTGATGTATTCAACACAACACTCAGAACGCAGAATAGGTCCAGCACCTGAACTAAGCCCAGTGCTCTGTTTCCTCCATCTCTTCACGGTCTTGACCATAGCAACCGTCATTTGTTTTGTTACTATTAATTGGTCCTTTGAGAACTAGCATTTAGTAGTTTCTAAAAAGTGACCTTTTTCCTTGTAGCGTACTGCCTTTGAGCACTTTACATCATCCATGTTGTTGACAGTTCAGAGCTTTCGAGTGCCGAGTGCTACTTTACCATATTGAATGTATCCCACTTTGTATATCCACCCCACCAAGGTTCATCTGAATTGTCAGTTCCAAGTAATCATGAGTAGAACTACTACAAACATTCAAAACAAGCTTTGTGAAGCTAAGTTTTATTTAACAAAGAACATGTTCAGAAGCAGGACTGGTGGGTTTCGTGGCAGTGTTTGGCAAACTGCTCTGCAGAGAGGCCGTCCCATTTTGTGTTCCCAGCAGCAGTGTATGTGTGCTGGCTGCTGAAGTCCTCACCAGCGTTTGGTATTGCCAGTGACTTTTGTTTTAGCTATTCTGATAAGCATATAGTAATATCACAGAATACTTTTAACTTTTATTTCCCTACTGACGAACACTGTTGTCATGTGTGCTTGGTGACATGTCTGTTAATCCTTTGCCCGTTTCTTTACTCCCTCATTTGCTGTCTTACTATTCGGGAAGAATTTATTTTTTATATCTTTTAGGTGCTCGACTTTTGTCAGATGCGTGATTTTCACATAGATTCTCTCATTTGTAGCTTGTCTTTTTCATTCTTGTAACAATGTTTCATATTACAAAAGTTTTAATTTTTAGAAGTCCAATGTGGCAACTTTTTCTATTAATTTTGAGTTAATTTTTAGCACAGATGTGAGGATGAGATCCATTTTGTTATCCATGGGCACACAGTTGTTTGAGCATCATGCTGAGAAAGCCATCCTGTTTCTACTGAGTTGCCTTTTACTAATAAAAGTCGGCCGTTGGTTTGTATGAGTCAGTGACTCTTCTGTGCTCTGCCCCAGTGGTCTGTTCTTCTCAGTATCACACTCTCTTGATTACCTACCTTGAGTTTGTAGAACCTCTTTAAATCAAGTAGTGTGGGGCCTGGGCGGTAGCTTAACCATTAAGAGCACTTGCTGCTCTTGCAGAGGACCCAGGTTCAGTTCCCAGCATCTGGTGGCCACAGCATTCGGGAACTCTGGTGCCAGGGATCTGACAGCCTCCCTGACCTTCACAGGCATGAGTGTGGTGCACATATGTGCATGTAGGTTGCTCTCACATACTGGGTAAGAGAGAATTGGGGAGTATGAGGCCTCATATTTTATCATTTTTAAGTATTGTTAATATTCTTTTAAACTTTAGAATCAGTTTATCTGTGTCTTAACTTTGTCTATTGTCATTCTGTGTTCAAGTTTGTTTATTTTGTAATTATTTTGTCTTCTTCATTTGGTTTTCTGGTTTTCTGGTTGTTCAGGTGGAGGTTTAGCCATTGATTTGAGACTTTTGCCCTAAGATAAGTGTGTATTGTCTGTCAGTGTACAGTTTAGCCATGCCACACAAATTTGAATGTTATTTTCAGTTAGTATATTTTTAAATTTCTTTGGAAATATAAATACTTGATCTATGGAATTATTTAGAATTGTTTAATTTACAGGCATTTTGAGGTTTTCTTGTTATTTTCTGTGTAATGTATCATGATCTGAGAGTGTACTTTGTATAATTTTAGGCCTTGACATTTGTTAAGATTTGTTTTGTCAACACAGGTTGAGTCTCTACTGGCTAATTTGAAGAGAATGTATATTTTTCCGTTTGGGGTGGAAAGTTGTGTGGATGCCAGTTAGACCGCTGGTGTGGTCAGCTCATCTGCAGCACTGTGTCTAATAGTCAGTGTGTCGATCACTGTGGATGCCAGTTAGACCCTGGTGGTGTTCTAATGTTTTCCTGTACATTTGCTATGATACCATTTTTTGTGTGTAGTGGAATAAACATTGTGTATGGTGGAGTAAATAAAAATTTAGATATAAAAAAATGCAGTTTGGGTCTGGGGAGATGGCTCAGTGGGTAGGAGTGCCGGTTGTTCTTTTAGAGGAGCTGAGCTTGTGTCCTTGCACCCACATGGTGTCTCACAACCAGCCTGACACCAGTTCCAGGGTATCCGATGCCCTCTTCTGGCCTCTGGACACACATATATACATGCAGGCAAAACACTTCTAAGCATAACCTTTTTAAGTAGTTGAGTACTTTGCATCAGGAGATGCTTTGAGGGCATCTGGAAGACTTCACTTTGAAAAAAAGACCCAGCCCCTGAGTTTGGAATTCCCAGAGTTCAGCCACCCAGGTATTCAATGACTCTGGCCACTGCCCCACTGTTGACAGATTTGGACATCAGATTCTAACATCATTCACATGGCATACAAAATCTAAGTCACAGAGTCATGGGGACTTTCACTGATGTCAAAGGAAAGTGGGCAGTGTGGCAGAGTCCCTGTGGGAAGCTCCCTAAAATGCAGTGCATTAATCTGAGTGCAGCCAAGGTCATAGCAGAACCCTTAGGAAGTTAGAGGTGGCAGGAACATGGAATATCAGCAGATAAAGACCGTAGGTGCCAATCAACACGCCAACGAGCTGCCACATGGGTTGCAGCTCGTCAGGGGAGTGGGATTTGGTTAGCAAAGCCTGTTGCCACCACCTTGTACCCTGTACACTGGACGTGGAGCTACAGAAGTCACTGTTTTCCCGCTGGGCTTTGGTACAGTCCTTTCTTGGTATTTTCCTATTTCTTATTTGGAGTAGTACTTACTTCTTTATAAAGTGTATAATTGTTTTGTTTTGTTTTTGATTTTTGAGACAGGATCTCACTGTATCCCTCTGGCTGGCCTGAGACTCACTGAGATCCACCTGCCTCTGATTCTCTAACTTAAAAAATTAAGTTAACAGGGTTCACAGCTAAGAGTTTGCCTTGATTTTTTGAGGAGACTTGAGCAACACTAGAACGGTTAAGGCTTTGGAGCCCCTTGAATGTAGACAAGATGTGTTTTTGCACAATATAGACATAAAACTTAGGAAATTTGGATTTGAAATGTCCCCCAAAGGTCATGAGCTAAAGGTTTGGTAGCTCACATATGATGGTGGTGTGAGGTAGTAGAAACCTCAGGAGGTGGGCTCTCTGCTTTCCTTCCCTTCCCTTCCCTGTTTTCTTCTACCACTAGTGAACAGCCCCCTCTGTCACATACACTCACTGCCATGAGCATCTGCTTTCATTGGTCCACATCTATAGAGATTGGTGACCACGGACCAAAACTCTGAAACCCATGGGTCAGAATAAACTTTTCTTCTGAATTGTTTTTCTTGGCAGTTTTGTCTGGGTGAAGGAAAGCTGACGCATACAAAAGCCTTCATTTCTCCATTTTAATCCACGTTCAGTTTCACTTTTCAAAAATCCTTTCAGAAGATACTCTGGTCTCCAGCACATGTTTTTATCCCTTTTCCTCTCACCCTGAAGTTTTAGTCTTCACTTTAAAAACTCCTGAACCGTTGTGTTTATATATTTGGTTGTGTCTGTATTTCCCACTATACACTGAGAAGTCTGTGATCAGTTAGAATCCCGTAATAAGTTGTGAAGTCTGCTTTCCTACATCCAGAATGTAGGTGGGTCTTCTCTTTACTATGTACATATCCTTAAATGTCTTGTGTATTTAAACTTCTGTCTACTGGGAACCAGGAAAAAATATGCGCTTAAGTGATTAAAATGTGTTTATGTGGGGAAATATAAAAAATAGTATTTATTTGTCTTCTGATAATTCCAGGATGAGATTCCTACTGGAATGCCATGCCTGGAGTCAGTGACCATAGGTGACGACATTTGGGATGAGAACTGGCTCCCTCTACAGGCTAAGATGGGAAAGGGCGTGGGTCCTGCCTCCCATCTCTTCACTTCAAGTCTTGGGAAGAAACAGTATCAGTCACATGGAGAAATGTCACAAAAGGTTAGATTTGGGGGGGAAACAGCAAATCACTGTTGACAAAGGAAATTTAAATCCAGTAGACAGGCTTCTAGAAAGTCGCACATGCAGGGATTCAGAAGGATTTGTCAGGCTGTGGCTCAAAAGAACACATGGGTTGTTTTGAAGTAGGTAACAGTAGGTGCTCAGGAAGCCTAGAGGGGAGAGGCACTAAAGCCCACAGGGTTGTGTGTAATTCATGAGACCCATGTTGAAGATTAGTACTGACGTCGAGGGGAGAAGTCACACTGACAGATTTCAACTGCACATCCTTTCTGTCATTTAAAACTTGTCACTTCCTTGCCGTCACCTTGATGTCTTGTGCCACTGTATCTTGATTTATTGTTGCATTTTCTTCTTTATAGGATTGGTATTTTTCTGCATCTAATGATAAATGGGATGACTCATGGCAGCCCGGAGGCCTTGCAAATGACATGAAAGGAGGAATTCAAACTCCAGAAGACCCCATTGCTCAAGACAAAAGTACTGGCACAACCAGAATTCAAAAGGTAAATCTAATTAGCATTACTGTGACCAGTACGTAATTAATCACTTTCATTCTTAGAAACTGTGGCTAATGCATGCCCTTCTGCCTTCTGCATCAGTTAATCAAGACGGTCACCCATAGCCCATCTGGTGAAGCAGGTCTTCGGGCGAGGCTTTCCTCTGGGTGGTGATAGAGTAGCGAGCGGTTCTGTCTTCCTATGCTCGCAGCCTTTAATACAGTTCTCATGGTGTGGTGGCCCCAACCATGATATTATTTCATTGTAATTCATTATGTAAATAAATACATAAATTTCATTGTAACTTCATAACTGTAATTTTGCTCTAGCTATGAATCATAATGTGAATATCTGTTTTCTGATGGTCTTAGGCAACCCCTGTGAATGGGTCTTTTGACCCCCAAAGGGGTCTCGACCCACAGGTTGAGAACCACTGCTCCCGGCTGTCAGTTGACAAAGCTGACTGGGGCAGTTTGAGCTCACATTCATTCTTGCTCCAAGCTCCCCTTTGACTTTACTCCGGAGACCTTTGGCAACGCCAGATGTCCACCTGGGTGAGGCTCGGACTCCATTCTGTCTTCTAGCCTGCCAGCTGCGCACCTCTGCGGGTTTACATCGACTCTTCACTTGATGATTTGCAACTTTGTGGGCTTGGCAGATAACTTGAAAGTTGTGAGCAGAATGTTGGATTGTTCTCCCATCCCTTTCTCTGGGATGTGTCTACCAAGGTCTGGATGCCTTATCAGACTCAGGATCTACTCGCTTGCCCTTAAGACAGCAACTTCTGTTTGGACCTCAACCCCGTTCCTGACTGGAGAATGCCTTAGTTAAAAAGGCTGTGGTACCTACGAAACCCATTTCATTTTCTGGCAGTTCCCCTGACTGCTTGTTCCCAGGACTTTGAAATATTATAAAATCTAATTTTTCCAATGTTTCCAATGCAGTGAGATGGAGGCTGCCATGACTAGAGCTGGAAGTCTCACTGACATGTTTATAGCTTACACCTCCACACCAAGAAGTCAGCATTTGTAAACCAGCTATATCTGAATCTCCTGGGACTTTGTAACCATACTCTGGGCCATTTCAATTAATGACAGTTAATTTCCCCATCTGCAAGGAGTTGTGAACTTCATAGTAATTCAGAGTTCTGTCCTAGAGTCAGATGTCTGGGTTTAGCTCTTGACTCTGTGATCCTTCTCACTAGTAAAGATAACACTGCTCACAGGGCTTAAGAGCTCACTATGTACGGCCGCTGTTGTGAGCATTTTATGCACCTCCCTGGTCATTTAATTTTTCTTTTCTTTTTTTTAATAACCAAAGAAGAATAAGTTTGCTTTTTATTTATTTATGTTTTATATACGAGTGCTCTGCATGTATACTTACATGCCAGAAGAGAGCACCAGATCTCATAGCAGATGGTTGTGAGCCACCATGTGGTTGCCGGGAATTGAACTCCGGACCTGTGGAAGAGCAGCCAGTGCTCTTAACTGCTGAGCCATCTCTCCAGCCCCATTTACTTTTTCTTAAGAAGTACTGTTAGCACCATTTTAAATGAGGAAAGAGAGACATAGATTAAGTTGCCTACGTAGCTGTCCTAGTCTCTGTTTTGTTCCTATGATGAAATACCACGACTACGGTAGCTCTTAGAAGAAAACATTTAACTGGGGGCTTGCTTACAGTTTCAGAGGATTGGTACGTTATCGGCATGGCAGGGAGCACAGCAATGCACAGGTAGGCATGGCACTGGAAAAGTATCAGAGAGGGTCGCATCCTCATTTGCGGCAGAGACACACACACGCTAGGTCTGGCATGGGCTTTTGAAACTTCAGAGTTCAATCCCAGTGACACAACTCATCCAACAAGCCCACACCTACTCCAACAACACCATACCTACTAATTCTTCCCTGACAGCTCATCAGCTGGGGACCGTGTGTGTCTGTCTGTCTGTCTGTCTGTCTGTGCCTCTGTGGCCTGCCTTATTTGAGCCACCACAATAGTGAAGATATTCTATAAGGTTGTGTTTGGCATATAGTAAGCACACATTAATTTTCATGCATTTGCCTGTTTCTATTTTGCAGCAAGCAGATTCACAGAGCCCTTTGGACTCTTCCACACTGCCCAAACTGGAAGAGTTCTACATCTCTCTTATCAAGTCACAGCCGCCGGTAGAAGGAAGCCAGTCTGAGCCTGTCAGCATTCAGACTCAACCCAAGCACAACCTGCTGTCCTCGACAGTACCCAGCTCAGCTCCTGCAGGGCTCGACTCTCCAGGAACCCATTCTGGCTCTGGTAGGTTTGCATATCCTGCGCATGCTCAGCTGTCAAGTAGAAAGTTTGCCATGCTGCTAAAACCTCCATCTCTTGAGAACATACCTCGGAAGATGACGGGTACCAGCATTTACTCCAAGTTCTCATCTTAGTTTGGAGCTCAGTTCTCTTTAACTTTGCCACTTTCTTCCTTGCTTACACTTTTTGGAGGGACTTTATATAATTGTAAAGCTTCAAGGACATGGTTCTTTGAGTTTTGGTAAATATGTTCAGTCCTATTTCCTTTAGCCTGAAAAGTTTCCTTTGCCTTTGCGGCCAGTCCCTCCCTCAGCAATGCCCGTCACTTTGCCGTCTCTAGACTACACAGTATGTGGTTTGCATAACTGGCTTCTTTCCTTTATTACAGAATTTTGCTTCTGTTGGCTATTATTTGGAAGTGATTTTTCTTGGGCCTCTGTTCATTGCATGCGTAGCTTTTTAAACTACCAAAATATGTTCCAAAGTGCATGTATCATTCACGTGCCTCCCAGCGAGCTATGGAATTCGCAATTGCTCCACGTCCTAGCCTCCAGATGCTATTGAATTTTTTTTTTTTAAATTTGCCAATCTAGTGAAATGCATAAGGCTGTTGTAACCAATTTGGATCATTCTGCTTCCCATACTAGCCATCTTTTCTGTGCTTATATGTTATTATATCTTTAAATGGATATATTTATACTAAAAAAAACCCATAGAATAGTATGCATTTCTCATCCTATCCTGTTATATATTTTGCTTTTCATATTACGTTCCCATAATCGATTCTTTCTTCTTTATATAAAGTTTTTTTTAAAAAAATTAAAAAATAAGAAAGCACTTTATTTACTGACATATTCATCTTTTCTGGTGCCCTGTATTTCAAGGGTTAAATGAGGGTTCTACAGTGGCTGAGTAGTAGTTTGTATGCCATTCACAAGGCTCTTGAGTGGTCCCTGGTACCCCGAATATACACATTTCATTGTTGCGGGCTTATGATCATTCTGTACTACAAAAACAGTTGTAGACAAGAGTTAAATGGCACTGTAAAACCACAGAGCTGGCAGTGTTTAAATGCTGAGGCTAGTTTCCCGTGAGTACTTAGACTCGATCGCACATGACGAGGCCATCGTTCTGTAGTTCGTTGATAGTGTGTTATTCTCAGTTTTGCTCTCTGTGGGTAGCGCCTGTCCTGTGCCCCAAGTGTCCCAATGTGGACTTGGATCTCAGATACTCTATTCTTCATCTCATTTTTGTTTGGAGTCTTTATTTTCCAGTTATTTCCCATCATGCTTACATTTTTCTTTCTTATCTATATTAAGTGTCCCAGAATCTGTTTTAATACGCTTACATTTTTCTTTCTTCTTATCTATATTAAGTGTCCCAGAATCTGTTTTAATACGCTTACATTTTTCTTTCTTCTTATCTATATTAAGTGTCCCAGAATCTGTTGTAATACATTTATCTTGTGATTCTTTTTGAAGCTTATCACCTGTGTCTTCTTAGTATCTGTTATTTTCTCCTGATTCCATGTCAGAATTTGCTTCTTTGGATCTTGTCTGGATTCCTTCCTTCTGTCTTTGTTAGGGACTGGGGTGGTGGTGGTGGTGGTAACTTTTCTCAGCCTTGGTCCCACCTCTAGTGTGCTCTTAGGACCCCTCCCACAGCAGAAGTCGCTGTTCGTGCTCGTCCAGTCTCATGCTTCCCGCTCAACACTGCAGCTCTCTGTGGAATCATGTATCCTTCCTTTCATATATTTGTCTTTTTCTCTTGGCAAAACCACAAGTACCAGGGATAATGTATCGTGTTTATGTGCTTAGCACACAGTGATCGGAAGGCTGGATTGTGCTTGCCTTTCTCTGAAGACACTGAACTGTGTTTGCAGACAGCACTGCTAGTCCTTCAGGTGTTGGCAGACAGCACAACAGCAGCTTGTGCGGGACGTTAAACTGAACAGACTTAAGTTCTGAATTTTTTAAGCAGGGTTTTAAAGACAGTCTTCCTTGCTCTATGACCCATGCTGGACTGATTGCCACGTAGTTCAGACTGATCTGGAATTTACTAACCTCCTTATTCTCCCTAGTGCTGAGATTACAGGTACCCACGTGTCCCACAAAAGCAGAAGTTTGTGGAATAAAGCCAGGTTGGTTCTCTGCCCCAAACAATTCTTCTCTCACAGTTGGATCCCACTGTGGGTAGCACTGGTTTAGCTTCTTAAGGTTGTGAGGGGGTAAAAAATGTACAGTAGCCAAAGGCTGTGAACACACAACAATCAAAATTCAATTAAAACATTTTTAGAATTTATTTATGGTATGTGGGTATACTGTCTGCATTATATAAAAGCACACCCTCAAAGGGGATTGGATCTCATGGGACCACGGTTGTATGAGCTGCCATGTGGGTGCTGATAACTGACCTTAGGTCCTCTGGAAGAGCAGCCAGTGAGTGCTCAGCCCCTCAATTCACACGCTTAGTGAATCCAGGTGTGTGTGGCGCACTCCCACGTGCTGCCACACACCGCTTCACTGCAGCCCTCATTCCTGTGCGCGGCACTGTGCACGCCAATGCACCGTGCAGTAGGACCTGGCCAACAAACTTTACTGAAACACCTTGGTGCAGAATTGAGATAAGCTTGTTAGTAATTGCAGTGTTTTTATTGCACCGAGTTTTCTGCTCTTATAGAAACATAATGGTTTACCAAAAAAAGTGAGGGCTAGGAGCTGGCTGTAGCTCAGCTAACAGTGTGCTTGCCTAGCATGCAGAAAGCCCTGGTTCAAGCTCAGGCACTCCAGAAAACTGCACAAACCATAATCCAGCACGTGGAAGACAAGGCAGGAGGATCAGTTCTCCAGAGTGAGTTCCAGAGCTAGAAGGTACGATGTGATAACCTGTATTCAAACAAAAACAAATACAACATAATGGTTTAATTACAGAAAATAAAGGCTTTCATTTACTCTGTTCCCATTGTTACTCCTAAGTATAAAATTAGTGTGTTCTTTGGATTGCATTAGAATGTTTGAGTTACTAACAAGTTTCATTTTTTTAAAAAATCAAATGAATTTTGCCTTTAGGATTAGGGTAGGATTTCCAGCAATTTCTGAAATGGTCTAAAACATTTCTGTCATTTTGTAATACATTGAAGATGTTTTATGTCCTTGTAGTATCAAATACTCAGGCGTATCAAATTACTCAACCCTTGGTGTAAAAAGTAAGTACATCTATCATATTAACATTATATTTAATTTTGTTTTTAATAATCAGTAAAATTGTGTATATACCAAAGATGTTTTACGAATCAACTTATTATCAGTAAACATTTTATTTATATGCCTATTTTATATAGCAGGGCCCTTTAAAACTCTCAGGCAAAAGGAGGTCTCCAGTGGAAAAGAGCTGGCGCGGGTCTAGCGCGTCCATGTAAGAATGTGTAACATCTCCAGCCTTGGTTATCAGACACCTGGGTGGCTGTAAAGCTCCAGTGGTTCTAATGACAGAAAGCAACACCCGAGGCACTTGTTACTAAGTTGTCATTTATAGCTTTGCTCTGACACTGGCATAGACTTGGAATCAAAACCGCTTGGCACAGAGAATGCCTGTAGAGTATCGTTCTATTGTGTGCTGGGGGAAAAATAAGGGAGCTCTGGGCTTCTCCCAGGGATTTGAGCTTCATCCAGTTCATTTTCTGACATTCCTAAAAGGAAGCCTTCCTTTCCTCGCTCATGTCCCTTCCTCTCTTGCCCTCAACCTGGTCAGTGTTTATTCTATGCTAATGCAGGATTTCCTTCCTTCCGAACCTGGTTTTCTGACTGGTGATGGCTGTCAGTCAGGGAAGGCTGTGAGACGCCCGTTGGTGAAGAACTGCACTGGGAGATGCAGGCAGTGAGTTAGAGAACTTCTTGAAAGGATTCTTTTGTTTTTTCTCTTTTAGTGGAAAGCTCTCCAGGGAGCCTAAAGAATGAAGATATTTCTAGTAGCCATGCTGACACGGTGGTCAAGGACAAGAGTCAAGGAGCCATAGACCAGCTGTCTTTCATTTTGTCCCCCCAGCACCAGATTTCTCAGAAGCTCTACCTACCTCGAAGTACAGCCACGGCTGTCTTGGGAGCGGCTGCACGGTTAGCCATGTCCCGGAGCCCCCTGCACTGGTACCCCAGTGTGAAAGGATGGAAGCCGGAGGGACAAGAGGCAGAGAAAGATGAAGTGAAGTAGCGTTGGGTAGGGACCGCTGGTCTTTCTATGTGACCATTGGCTAGCTTTGTTTTGCTAACTGATCATATTGATACTTTGTGTTAATTTTATTTTTTTCATGATTTTACTTCATTTCAAATGGTTTGGCTCACCTTTGTTTTAATGAAGGAATTTAAAGGAGTTTGTGTATATGTTTCTGAGTTTTTCTTGTATATATCATGACTGATAAAGGAAAATTGAAAAAATAATCTTTTGTGGTCTATATTTAACCAGAACAGTATTTTCACATCTCTATCACACAGTAGCCAGCTGTCCAGGCACGGATTCTCCTGCTGTAAACCTGACAGCAACATCCTAACTCTAAATCCAGACCAACGGGGCTGAAGCTACCACCTTCTCCTGCTTGTTAGCCCCCCTGTGATTACATTTGCATAAACTCTCAAGTTGCTGGTTAAGCTTGGGAAATCCCTAGAACCTTCTCATATCACAAATAGCAGGGATAGCTGGGTGGGGCTTGCCCAAGAGATCAGTACTCCCTTTATTCCCTTTAGTGTCAGGCTTTTCTTGAAACATTTTATCTCCTTGAGCACTGGAACTTCTACATTACATTTCCTGGTGTTTTTTATGCTTAAAGTGTACATTTTTTATTTCTTTGACCCTCTGGCTCCTTTTTCACCATAGATCTTCATAAGGGTGATCACTAATAACACAGTCAACACTAGGCTGCCTTAAAATCTCTGCCAACAACAGTAATCCAAAACTCTTCAATTTAACCTCAGGCATATTCTTAGGACAGAGTAAAATGCAGCCACATTCTTACAACCAAATATTATAAGAATGATTTCTAGACCAGCCAGTAATATTCTTTCCTTCTGAAACCTCGAACTGGGCCTGCACAGTCCACACCACCCTCAGCCTGTCTTCCATGTTCCATGTTCCTGTTTGGATGATCCATTAAATCCCACTTCAGAGAGTTTAACTGCTTTATTCCTTTGACAAATAGCTTGAACAGGCCTCTCACCAACTTCTGTCTTTGTTGCTGGTTTATTGCTGTGAAGAGACCTGACAAGGCAGCTCATACAAAAGAAACATTTAATTGAAAGCTTGCTTCCAGTCTGAGAGGGTGTCAATCATCATGACAGGAAGCAGAGACAGACTGGGCATGGCATAGGCTTTTGAAATGTCAAAGCTCATCTCCAGTGACACACTTCCTCTAACAAGACCATCCCTCTGAATCTCTCAAACAGTTCTAAGTATTCAAACATGAGCCTATTGGGGTCATTCTTAATCAAACCACCACATCGAATTTCCTCCTTTGAAACTGCAATTCTGAGTTTCTGAAGACCAGGTGACTCTTATGACATAGAAGCACTCTGTCATAGAAAGGCTGAAGGCAAGTCCACATTTAGTCAGTGAAACTGGCTGCCTCTATGGTAGCAACCATCTGCTGGGAAGAGCTCTACTAAAGCTAAACTGATGGACTTTAAGTTTGACAGCTGGTTTATAAGCTGAAACCAGCTATTGCTATACCCTCCAAGTTAAATTTAGCTGCTAAAGCTTTGCATTTCATCCTTTTTGGAAATGGCCAGCTACATGCCTAGCACCATCTAGACTGCTGAATATCTGGTGGCGGAAGTCACAAAATAATCCCACACTAGTTCAGAATTATGAATAACAAAGGGTAATTTGTTTAGGAAAAACTTACAGATCACTGTGCTAGACAATAGTTCTCTACACTGGTGTAGGAGGGTCTTCTATGTGTTACACTCATTGATTAAACTGCCTAGGCCTTTTGATAGGAAAGCAGCTTAGGTGGAGTAGACAGAACAGAATGCTGGGAGAAAGAAAGCAGGGTCAGAGAGAGAGCTGTCCGCCATGAAGCTGCCAGGTCAGACATGCTGAATCTATCCCGGTAAGCCATGAGCTCGTGTTGACATGCAGCATATTAGAAATGGGTTAATTAAGATGTGAGAGCCAATATGAGGCTAGAAATAATGGGCCAGGCAGTGTTTAAGTGAATACAGTTTTCGTGTAAATATTTTGGGTGTAAACTAGCCGGGAACCGGGTGGCAGGAAGCAGCTTGCTGCGCCCTCTTTACAACAGATTGGCGGCCCAACGTGGCCAGTTAAAAATTCACTTAAAAACCTGAGAGAGCTTAATTTTGAACGTAGAAAAAAGAGCTTAACACAGCTTTTTGCTGTTTGTTGGTGGGGTACTGCAGAGAAATTTTCCCAATTCAGCAATAGCGGTAGAAAAAGGCTGTGCCATTTTAAAACAAGGCTTCCTGGGTCCTGCCGCTGGTGCAAACTCCAGCTATGGAGCATTTCTGGTCGGGAAGAAAGTAGCTGAGACCATGCCTGTGGCTCAGCTCTTCCTGCCTGGGCAGACAGCGGAATCAGGCTTGGGTAGGCAGGAGAGCATGGCGGATTCCCGCCACCATACAGAGAGATGTTTTCAGGCTATGCAGTGCTCTGCATGGCTGATTTGACTGTAACTCAGAAAGAGTTTCTATGCCACACACTCAGTCTCAGAGTTAAAACGCTGAGTGAGGCTCCTACCTGATGGCCCCAGAGCTAGCAGAAATGGTACATTCACCATTTTGAAATTGGAGAAAGGTGGAGCCAACATCAGAGCAGCCTGCTGCTCTGCAGCTCAGAGGCACAACTGATTTAGAGTCACAAGCAGCTCCACCATGTTAGACTGGGCGGGGCAAGCCCACAGTACCTGTTTTGACCTAGGAATGTCACAGTTTAGATTCTTAAGTGCTTAGCGATTTAAAACTGCGAAGCAAAAATGCTCCTGGATAGTAAAGAATTACAAATTCACAATAGGACAGATTCAGACATAAAAGACCTCTAAATGGGTCACAGTGTTGGATGAGTGTATAGTAGGCTTGGGAGATAGAAGAAAAAGAATCTAGAGGATAAAGTTGATGCCTTAAAAAAAGGGTGAAGTCTTTAAAGAGATAGAGTACAGATAGTTATAGATTAAAAGAAATAAAGAAAAATAAGCCACATAAAAATGGAAAATTCACAGAGAGGCTGGATTCTGTGTATTATTGTATTTTCTTTAAATTTTGACTGTAAAGGAGCTAAATACAGAGGCACATCTCATTGTGTGAGCTGCTAAGATAAACCAGGATGTATATTATAAAGCTATCTTGACTTCAGAATTTGGATCTAAGAACATGATGCTTTGGAAAAGAGGTTTTTCTTTTGTTTTCACAGAGGATGAGACCCTGTGGATTGCTTCTATCCCAATATGGTATGATAGACCACGCCCTCCTGAAAGGTTGCTGTGAACACCCTCAAAAAATTACTTCACTCAACTACTGACTGAGATGAACCTGGAACACAGGATACACCATGAAAGACCTGATTAACAGCGCTCCTATATAGCAGGAAGAAGTTTGGAGAAAAATAACTATGTCCATATTCCCAGATATTGTTTATAAATGTTCTTTTATATTTAAAGGGGGATATGATATAGATATGAATAATTTGCATTGGTATGAATTTTAAGGTTATTTTGTTATAAGTATATGTATTTCTGATCTTGATTAAGATATTGTGATTGTGTAGTTCATTTAAAAATGTAATGTATAATTAGGAAGTATAGGTTGTTAATGGATAATCATCGATAATAGTCAACCTTGTAATCATGTTAGATTTTCTAGATATATAGATATATATTTCAGTTAGATAGACATTCTTCATATCTTTCAAAGACTACAGAATATGGCATTTAAAATGTTTTAATAACTTAGGGCTTTTCATGACAATGAGACACGTCTGCTCCTGGCAGCACCAGCTACTTCAAGAGGAAGATGGACATTGAAGAGGCTCCTTGTGGAGTTTGATAGCCATTTGGGCAAGAAACTGCTTTTGCCTGGACTGTTGCATAAACTGGACACAGAGAACCTGCAGAGAGTTTAGGCTGAACTTGCCTAAAGGTGAGATGATCCTTTGGGGTTCCTGATTCATGAAAGAGTCTGCGAGACATTCTGCAGGACACAGCAGATAGTGACTGAACTGTCTTTGAATTTTCCTGCTTCATGAAAATATCTGTTGGATACTGTGGGCCTGAAGACTGAAGATGGATGCCCCAACAGTACAGAAGAACTTTGGGTACTGTACAGGCAGCAAGATGTCTCTGTCATTTCTAGAGTTTGGAAGTTGCTTATTTCTTGTTTGCTTAGATAATATTATATCCTTCTGGAGTCTTTGATGGAGTTGAAGAATGGTTAGTTATAGTTATAGTTTTCCTTAGTTATTATAAAAGATAAAATAGATATAAATATTGTAACTGTAATTCTTGATAGCTTTTGTTATATGTAATTTTACTATGTTAAAGTTAAAACCTTCTTTTTTGTTTAAACAGAAAAAGGGATGATGTAGGAGGGTTTTCTGTCTATGTGTTACTTTCATTGGTTAAATAAAGAAACTGCCTAGGCCTTTGAATAGGACAGCAACTTAGATAGGCAGAATAGACAGAACAGAATGCTGGGAGAAAGAAAGCAGAGTTGGAGAGCCATCCACCATGAAGCTGCCAGGTCAGACATGCTGAATCTTTCCTGGTAAGCCACCAGCTTGTGGTGACATACAGCATATTAGAAATGGGTTAATTAAGATATGAGAGTTAGCCAATATGAGGCTAGAAATAATGGGCCAGGCAGTGTTTAAATGAGTACAGTTTCCATGTAATTATTTCAGGTGTAAACTAGCCGGGAACCAGGCTGCGGGAAGAGGCCGCTGCACCCTCTTTACAACACTAGATGAATGGGTAATAGGAATAACAGCCGGAAGCAAGAGGACTGCTGTCTAGGACAGTGATCTGTAAGTTTTCCCAAAATAAATAACCCTTTATTATTCATAATTTTAAACTAGTATGGAATTATTTTGTGACTTCCGTGCATCATCTGGTGCACAACTGTTTGGTTTGAGAACCCCCTGCTCTGACTGCACGCCCTGGGCTCAGAGCAAGCCCTTGGCGTATGTCCTCCCTCAGCCTGCCTCAGCCATGGCCTGTGCGCAGAGCCAGAAAATCCTCTCCCAAAGGATCCATGCCTCTGCCCGCCTCTATGAAACAGAGCCCACCCAAGAAAATGCCACTACCAAACCATTTTTAACTCTGTTCTTTTGTGTCTAGGATTCCTTTTTAAACTTTCTCGGTTTTACATGGATTTAGCCCCACATTGGGCACCAGTTGTTGTAAGAAGGGGCTGCTTGTTTGTCCCAACCACTCGGC